TCCAGGGACAAACCAAGTAGCAACCCAGAGAGGGGTGGCCGTATAACCACCCCAGAGGTTGTGAGTTTTACAGTTCCACTATTTATTAGATTAACACAGTGGCAGTAGGCCAGAGAGAGGAGATTTTTAATACTCTACGTATATCCCATTTGTATAAACAAGGCGATGGTATATGGCTCATTAGGCTGTCCTGTAGGAAGCAGCCGGCCGCGCTGGTTAAAGACTCTGCCGCTCGGTCGGTCACACCCCATCACCCAGCTGATTAATGCTGGAGGGGTTCAGGGCCGTGTCCACGGTGCCCACTCTGGTGGCACAGGGGAAGCTCTCTACCCAGGGGAGGGTGGGGGTGGTGGGGAGGGAAACCACTGATCGCTCCCTTAAAGCCAAAATCTAGAAGATTTACCAGATGCTCATGGGTACTATTACACAGCTATATGCAGAACAATATATTTGTATGCACGTACATGCACACACACACACATGCAACTGCATACGTTTATTCGCAAACATGCACACATACACACATTATAGTCAACAGTGTCCAGTATATGGGCAGGGCCCATTTCCTGCATGTTCATTAGTAGATCATTTCAGAGCAGGAGTCTCAGTGTTTAATATCTATTTCCCTGAAGTGTGCAGGCCCTCTAGCTGTGAGCACTTTAGCCCCGGGTTACCTATTTCATTTATCATAATTAGAATTTGCTGCATTGCATTAAGTCAATACTGCCGAAGACTGCACACTTTGACTAATGGTGCATGGCAGAAAGCTGGACCTTTAAAAATAATAATTTCTGGAAGATGTAGAATTATTCTCAGAATTTCGTACTCTTTTTTTATTGATAACCATTAATTTATAGTCGTTAAAACCACAACTCAAAATCTTGTTGAATGCGCTAGTGCAGGGATCATCAACTAGATTCAGCCACGGGCCATTTCTTTCTTGAGTGGATGGTCAGGGGGCCGGAACATAATTACAAATAATTTGAAGACAAATTGACTGTAAGAAACCCAAACAGATATAATATTTGATTAAAACATAATCATTTCAAACCTTGTTTACATTTGTATGCGATCACGTGTCTTTTTATTATGTGTGGGAATACTTTTCCAAAATTAACACATTTCCAAAATTAAAGTCACTTGGAGCTGATTTCCTGGTGTTTTTACAGTGTTTTATGTCCAACAATGAAAATTCTACAATTTCTTAATTTTATTTATTGTATTTTTGCTCAGAAAACTTGGGGGGCCAAATAAACCCATCAGCGGGCCAAATTCAGTCCGTAGGCCGCCAGTTGGGGAACCCTTCTCTAGTGACTTTAGATCAAATGTACCAGCCCATGTTAAAACGACTAATTCAGTAAACATACTGTCTCGTTTGGAGCATTAATATCAGCCACAGTGTACATTTGCTTTTGGTGTCAGATGATTGTGTTGAGAGTGACCTGACAGTTGCTGCTTCACGCGTCATCTTCCCCTTTAGCGTTTACAGTGTGAAAGTGTCAAAGCACATGTAGAGTGGAGCTCCTTCAGGAGAGCTGTTAGCTGTATTTGTTGTTGCTCTGTCTGTTGGCCTCTGATTTACACCATGCCTGTGTAGTAGAAACCTGTGTGCCATCAATACTGTTTTTATTATACTGAGTGCCACTGTCGTGCACTACAGGCTGCCGCGGCCAAGCATAAATGGATGCGGCTGCAATTAGCATAATTGAACTAATAACGCTAACAAGCTTTCTGTGTCGATAGAGTGTGGAGAGATCTAAATGTGCTGAGACTGGCTCTGGCACCGCCGCCGTGGCTGGAGGTCTCAGCGTAGCACCAATGTTCTGGCATAGCTTCATAATTGGGGTAATGGTGTCGAAGGGGAGTTCATACATGTAGTTGGAGGTGGGAAGTGATATTGTGGGATATGATATCGCTCAAGTCTTGTTTTCATTGTTATAGGTAGGTAAGTATACTGTTGTGGTTGTTTACATGACGATTACTATGTAGGCCATAGATAAATAATTTCCCACTTTTTTTGTTAACTTTTTAGGCTTGGTGAATACAAAAAATATACTTTTTAAAGGTTTTGTAAGGAGGGTATGATAGAGAAGATAAAGGGCCCTATCAGTCCCACAGTTAATATTTAGTAGCACTGAAACCATGATTTCAAATAGGCCTAGCGAGCGTCACCAACCAACAACCCCAAAAAAAAAAAAAACAAACCTAAACACCAACAAAAACCAAAACAAAACATGGCAGGAGAGTGGAGAGAGAGGAGAGCGACGAGGGAGATGAATTGAGAGGAAGAGAGAGAGAAGAGAGAGAGAGAAAGGACGTCAGAGGCCGGCCGAAAGAAGCAGGGAGTAGCAGCAGAGGCAGACAGAACCGACAACGAAGAGAGAGAGAGAGCGAGACGAGCGTGAGAGAGACGAGAGATGGAGAAGCGAGAGATGCGAGAGAGAGCGAGAGAGAGAGCGCGAGAGGAGAGAGAGAGAGAGCGAGAGAGAGGAGAGAGAGAGAGGCGGAGAGAGAGAGAGAGAAGAGAGAGCGAGAGAGAGAGCAGAGAGAGAGAGGAGAGAGAGAAGCGAGAGAGAGAGAGAGACGAGAGCAGAAGAGAGAGAAAAGCGACTAAGATTCTCGCCCCCCCCCCAGAATCTCTCTCAGCTCGCTCTCCTCTCGCTTCTCTCTCTCTCTCTCTCCTCTCTCTCTCTCTCTCTCTATAAACAGTGGGGAAAAAAAGTATTTAGTCAGAAACCAATTGTGCAAGTTCTCCCACTTAAAAAGATGAGAGAGGCCTGTAATTTTCATCATAGGTACTCGTCAACTATGACAGACAAATTGAGAAAAAAAAATCCAGAAAAATCACATTGTAGGATTTTTAATGAATTTATTTGCAAATTATGGTGGAAAATAAGTATTTGGTCACCTACAAACAAGCAAGATTTCTGGCTCTCACAGACCTGTAACTTCTTCTTTAAGAGGCTCCTCTGTCCTCCACTCGTTACCTGTATTAATGGCACTTGTTTGAACTTGTTATCAGTATAAAAGACACCTGTCCACAACCTCAAACAGTCACACTCCAAACTCCACTATGGCCAAGACCAAAGAGCTGTCAAAGGACACCAGAAACAAAATTGTAGACCTGCACCAGGCTGGGAAGACTGAATCTGCAATAGGTAAGCAGCTTGGTTTGAAGAAATCAACTGTGGGAGCAATTATTAGGAAATGGAAGACATACAAGACCACTGATAATCTCCCTCGATCTGGGGCTCCACGCAAGATCTCACCCCGTGGGGTCAAAATGATCACAAGAACGGTGAGCAAAAATCCCAGAACCACACGGGGGGACCTAGTGAATGACCTGCAGAGAGCTGGGACCAAAGTAACAAAGCCTACCATCAGTAACACACTACGCCGCCAGGGACTCAAATCCTGCAGTGAAAGACGTGTCCCCCTGCTTAAGCCAGTACATGTCCAGGCCCGTCTGAAGTTTGCTAGAGTGCATTTGGATGATCCAGAAGAGGATTGGGAGAATGTCATATGGTCAGATGAAACCAAAATATATCTTTTTGGTTAAAAAACTCAACTCGTCGTGTTTGGAGGACAAAGAATGCTGAGTTGCATCCAAAGAACACCATACCTACTGTGAAGCATGGGGGTGGAAACATCATGCTTTGGGGCTGTTTTTCTGCAAAGGGACCAGGACGACTGATCCGTGTAAAGGAAAGAATGAATGGGGCCATGTATCGTGAGATTTTGAGTGAAAACCTCCTTCCATCAGCAAGGGCATTGAAGATGAAACGTGGCTGGGTTTTTCAGCATGACAATGATCCCAAACACACCGCCCGGGCAACGAAGGAGTGGCTTCGTAAGAAGCATTTCAAGGTCCTGGAGTGGCCTAGCCAGTCTCCAGATCTCAACCCCATAGAAAATCTTTGGAGGGAGTTGAAAGTCCGTGTTGCCCAGCGACCAGCCCCAAAACATCACTGCTCTAGAGGAGATCTGCATGGAGGAATGGGCCAAAATACCAGCAACAGTGTTTGAAAACCTTGTGAAGACTTACAGAAAACGTTTTGACCTGTGTAATTGCCAACAAAGGGTATATAACAAAGTATTGACAAAACTTTTGTTATTGACCAAATACTTATTTTCCACCATAATTTGCAAATAAATTCATTAAAAATCCTATAATGTGATTTTCTGGATTTTTTTTTTCTCATTTTGTCTTTCATAGTTGACGTGTACCTATGATGAAAATTGCAGGCCTCTCTCATCTTTTTAAGTGGGAGAACTTGCACAATTGGTGGCTGACTAAATACTTTTTTGCCCCACTGTATATATATATATATATATATATATATATATCTCACATCTCCCCCCCAATGTAAAACTCCATCCTCCCTTGTGCAACCTTCTGTCTTTGCGTTTTCAGAACTCAGAGTCCAGGAATTAGCTTTCAACAAACTGGGTTACAAATGAGGCATTAAACATTTGTAATAGGGGTGCAGAAAGGTCACGCCTGTATTAATCTAGCATCTGGGGAATATACCCATGCGCGCAGAGAGAAAGCAACCAGGCAACTTTCCAAAAACAATCTCTCCACCCCCAAGACAAATGCAGCACATGAATAAATATTTTTACATAACTGCTTTGTGTTTGGAATCTCATATTGAGCATGGTTATTTTTTTACTTAGTGTAGATAAATGAGATATCAGCAACCGAGTTGAACAGAGATTGATACCAAAGCATTATAATATTTAGATGTTTAATTGATTGAACAATTGAGCTGCTATAGCCGCCTACAAGCGTTTGTTTATATATTTGGATCTGTCCTTGCGTTTAAAAAGCAATTACGCTCATGTATCCTTGAACATTTTCCTGAATGAGGAATCGATTTTTGGATCTAAAAATTGGTTTATTTTGAAGCTATGAGATGCATGAGGTATCTTACTCAAAGAGTAGCTTTCCCTCCATGGCTCAGAGCAGTTATGCACAGTCTTTCAGAGCACATGTTGAAATGCACAAGCTATCTGTAAAGTAAATCAGTCCATTTCACTGAGTTGACACACTGCAATCTTTCCTGTCATTTATTTTCATCACATGATTCAGCACCATTTTTTTTTGTACATGTTTATGTTCTTTTCCATTTTTGTTTATTTTGTATGTTTCTGTCTGTGTAGTGTCAGCTACATTTATTTTGTGAGTGGTTATCAATGTTTGTGTCTTTGGGCATCTCAAATGGCTATATTCTGTCACTACAATTTGCCGTTATTAGTGGCAGGTCAAGAAGCATTGTGTGTGGCAACATCCCCCTTTCAGCTTCTTCTAGATGTAATTTTCCTCTCTCTCCGAAATCAATTGAATTAAATTCAGATTGTCAAAAACCTTCCATTTAAATTCCTCTCCAAAGCTGTGAAACCTTTTCAATTCTAATTCATCATCTGTTCGACACCATGTCACCTTTGAATTGGCATTAACTTCAACATTTCACTTTTAATCTAAATTAACTCCAACCCTGGTTAGCAGTGTGTGGGTTACGTGTTAGCAGACATCCTCCCCCTCTAAACAATCGTGAAAAGGGTTGAGTGTGTGTGTGTCTGCGCGTGTGTGCGTCTGGCGTACGCCTAGTGTGTGGAGGTCTTTTATTCTTCAGGCCCAGGGGATGCAGGGCAAAGTGGAGTGAGTTTGACTGACAGGTCAGGGAAAACTGGAGTGGCGCGTTTGCCAAGTCGAATGGTGCCCCACAGCGCTTGGCATGAACAGAGGCAGACGCTGCCTTCTGGGGTCCCCGCTACCCAGCCAAATTCACATTGTTGAGGTGGTCGAGGAGACAAACAACACAAAGGAACACGTGGCACACACAGGGAACGTGAACAGAGGGCCAAGTGTCTTTCATTTATCTCTCTCTCTCATAACTCCACCACTCTCTCCTTCTTTTCCTTATTTGTGTTGTAGTTTTATTGAATTTTGTTTCAAGAGATGGTCGTTGTTTTGGGGGGTAGTTGGTGATATAGTAGGTGTTGACCTGATGAAGATTGATTCTTGTCAGAACAATGAAAATGTTTTGAAACACCTCAAAGTGTAGGTTTCTTTAAATGAAACCAATGACTGTATAGTAATAATTATCAGGACTCTGGGCCCTATTCAATCACAACTACTCCAGGGTTTCTTCTTTGTGAGGCAGCATACTTGAATTATTGGAATACTACACATACAATTTTATTTTTGTTTCACAGAGTAAACAGCATTTGTTTTACCTGCAGAAACAGCTTGTGATTGAATAGCGCCTGCTGTGTTTAGAATTGCTATGGTGGTCCTCGTCTACACAGTACTAACCAAATGTCATCCTTCTCTCTCTCCCATTTGCTCTCCCCCTTTCCCTCTCTTCCCTCTCTCTGTCTTTCTCCTATCTATAGCGGTGTAGGTCTGGCCCGGGCCCACTATGAAAAACAGCCCCCCTCGAACCTGCGCAAATCCAACTTCTTTCACTTTGTGTTGGCGCTGTACGACCGACAGGGCCAGCCCGTGGAGATTGAGAGGACCTCCTACATAGACTTTGTGGAGAAAGATAAAGTAAGACCAACACACAAAGGGGAATGGGGAGGAGGGCATGTGTGCCAGGTATAGCTAGCATTGGGGATAAAAGGGTGGCACTGACGCTGGGACCAGTGTTTGTGGCACGTCATTCCTTCTGCTTTGTTCAGTGCTATAGCACAGTGATGCTTTGAAACATGGAACGTGTAGCACACAAACTGTGGACACATTCATTTTTCTTCATGTCAAGTCAAGATCAATATTTTTTCCTTATATTTTTCATTGATTTATTATATATACTGCAATATAATGTAATGCATTTCTTTTGTGAATTATATTTTTATGAATTGTATATCTTTGCATTATGATATTATTGAACATAATTATATTATATTATATATACACTCATTTGATTATATTGATTTCAATTTATTAGAATTTCATAAACAGAATTTTACACATTAATTTTAAGATAATATACTCTATGTAGATCATATATTGATTATGTCCACCTCATGTTCATTTTTTTATTTACTTAACTGAGTTCCATATTGTAAGTATCTTTGTTAGTCATTCAATACTAATTCAAAGTATTTGATTTTGAGAAAGTACATTCATGAGAAAAGCTTTTGAGATTTGTTACAATAACTGAAACTTGGAAATAACTGAAACTTGGAAAGATTGTAATCTAGAAATCCAGGGAGCTGGTTGTAAATTGAAACCATTCAGATATAGAAGCACTTGCAGTTTCCAAAGAACCTGTTGGGGGGCAGTGATGAGCAGAAGGCAGAAAGTTTGAATGAAAGTAGTTTTGATTCAGCTTTAAATCAGACATTAAAGGTACTATTTTTATTTAAGGAATTTTGATGATGAGGTTACATCTATTTAAAAAAAATCTCATTTTGATTTAAATAATACAAGATAAAAGATAAAATATGATGATCCTCTGATATGCTTATGAAAGACATATTTGAAAACCCTTTGTATTCATTTTAAGCAGTCATTTGAAATGTAATTTCTTGTACATTCCTTTGTCATCTACAGACTCTTTGCTATGAGTGTATGGCTACCTCTCTGTCTGTGTTCAATGGTATTGTTCAGCAGTACCTGTGCTCTCAGTGGTAATGGTAACCCACTTCTCTACCTGCCGCCTGGGCCGTTCTGCCATGCTGCCGGGGGGTTGTTCTCAGTAAAAGGTTACAGAGAACAGCTCCGCCCACGGTCAGGAGGGACGGCGGCCAGCTGGCACGGTCGCTCCTCCCGTCCTCCCTGCCCGTTCACCTCTGCCTTGACCTCCAGCCCGTCCCTGGGCCCCTGCCAAGACTCCACTGCACATTTGGCACCGCGTGGCGGCGGGGGAAGGAGAGAAATACAGAGCGAAAGAGAGAGGGAGAGAGAGATGGTGAGGGAGTGAGGAAAGGAGAACGAGAAAGGGAGTGATAGAGGGAGAGAGGGAGACAGAGTGGAAGAGAGGGAGGGAGAGAGAGACAGAGAGACAGAGGGGAGCGGATGTGGCCTCTCTCCCGGTGCCCGCCCGTGAGAGCGACTTGGCCCACCTGGAAGCTGAGGTCATCAAAGCTAACAGGCCACTGTCACCTAGGCAATGTCTCCTCTCTCTTACCGCATCTCTCTGTATAGTTGTGGTAACAGAGTTGTTTTTCCCTCAGCCACAGTGTTGTTTCAGTTCCTACGCGAGTTTGCCCTTTTGTCGTTGCTGTTTGATTTATTCCTGGCTGGACGATACAACAGGCAGCTGGTTTGTTGTGTGCGTGTCAGCAAGGGGAGTTGGAGGAAAGATTAAGATTCCATGTTGTATCTCACTATGGCCCTGCAGTGGGAATTTGGGCATTGCCAAATACTCTAAAATAGCAAGGGTTTAGCAACTTCAGAAGTATAACTCAATCAGAGAACGGTGTGGATTATCCTCAGGGTTCATGGGAAAAATATTGTGTTTTTAAAGACATGAACCCCCAGAACTAATTTTCCCAGAATTGTCTTCCTGATGATAAAAATCTAGTAGATATCACAAAGGTTCACTTTAATTAATATGTTTTCAGTTGCATACCATTATTAGATTGACCTGTGATTTACCTTAACTAACAACCTTCTAATTGCTAATTCATTCGACCTAAAATGAAACCACAAAGTAATAACAGTGTTATAACAGCACATAACAACGCTGGTTGGTCCCTTAGCCTCTTATGGGATTTAAGTTTCCTCTTCAGATGATCTCTACTTGTGGATACAATATTAGTCTGGGAAGTCCCTGTGACATAGGAGTTGGGATCAAGATTAGGACTTGTGGCCCAACATCTGCTTGGATTAGGACTGGGATGTTGCTCTTTGGACATTTTCAGTGATAGAGTAGATTGAGGCAGATGAGCATAGATTAGGAAGGCGTAGTTCCTTTTTTTCCGTTTATTATGAGGTTTGTATTACGTACAAGACCCTTTATGACATCACAGCAGTGGACTAATGGGCTGATGTTGCCTTTTGTTCGGGGCGTCACCTCAAAAGCTGAGAGCCATTTTGACAATTTTCTGTGTTTGTCTTTGACTCTTTCAGGAGTACAATGGAGAGAAGACCAACAACGGCATCCATTACAGGCTACAGCTTCTTTACAGTAACGGTAAAACCATGATAATCCCTCCAAACATATTGCAGAGTTCTCTCTCTTCTCACTACTCTCTGTGGACAGATTAGTTTTAGCACTTCCAGGAAAAACAACATTAAATAAAAAAAGACAACACTAACATAAGTGGTAATCCTTATCACATCTGGAATAATATTTGACGACCACCAAATCCTAAAGTCTGTTTTGGTCATCGGGGAAAAATACTTGAAATTTTAACACTGATCTGTGGTCATTGAAAGCGCACACCTTAGATTTCGGTTGGCTTGGATATTGTTTTGAGACCACATCGTGAGAAGAGACAGAAGACTCAACTGGTTGGTGTTCAGTACAATTCACCAGTAACCTAAAAATATATATTTTTTAAAAGCACATAGAAACGGTGAGATTACAGGCAAGAAAGAGCAAAGCGACTAGCAGTTTCCCGTGGTCCTTTTTGAATACCCCCTGTTGTGTTTATGTCATATTTACGCTCCGTTGCATAGCTAATAAAAGATAAGTAATCATGGTTGATATTTAATTTGTTTGTGAATGAGAATTCCTTGTTATCCTAGAGGAAAAACGCAACGGGAGTGAGGAGAGCTCGGCAGTTGCAACCCGGGAACGCCATAAATAATAAAAAAATTCAGGAGCACAGACTTGTTTGTTTTAGCTGGGGGGGGGGGGGGGGGGGGGGGGGGGGGGGGGTACAAAAGCTTGATCTACATGACAAGTACTACAGAAAACATAAAATACACTATGGGGACACAAATAATAACAGAATTAATTTAGAAGACATTACTAGAAATCAGTCTTTTATGTTTTTCTTTCCGTGCAAGAAGTTAATTAGCATTTTAGGCTGATGTTTATATTGTTGTTGCTCAAGACGTTTCATTTGGCTAAACCACACGCCTACTTCTATGCAAATTATTTACAGAGGAAGATGACGTTAAAATTGTTATTCTGTCAATGGATCTTAACATTTCAATAATCCAAATTGGTGTCATGTATTATTACATTGTAATTGCAGGATATCTAATACATATTTGTGTTGTGTTTTGCAGGCATCAGGACAGAACAAGATCTGTTTGTACGGTTGATAGACTCCATGACCAAAGTGGTGAGCATTCTTCTTACACTGATCCCATCCTTTTAACAGGCTACTAGTAAAGTGTGTTTCAAACGCTTCTGCTATAAGTCAGTGTCCCAACACTGTTTCCAGTAGCAGTGCTACACTGCAAATCATACTGCAACCCACCACCTATTTTGTACATAATGTAACATGAGTCAACCTATCCGTGCTGGGATTTTAACCCATGTACACAGACACCCTTCAGTCATTTTACCTGCTGAGCTAAAGTACTATCAATTTACAGTACCTCAGTGGCAAATAACTAGTCTTGACCAGTCAGGCTAGAGGACATAGGGGCAGCCGACACCGATGTAGCAACCTGGCTCCACCACACACTGTACTGTATACTCTTCCCCACCCACCAACCCTCCCTATCCCTATCCCCAGCCCACCAGACCCTCCCTATCCCCAGCCCACCAGACCCTCCCTATCCCCAGCCCACCAGACCCTCCTTATCCCCAGCCCACCAGACCCTCCCTATCCCCAGCCCACCAGACCCTCCCTATCGCTATTCCCAGCCCACCAGACCCTCCCTATCCCCAGCCCACCAGACCCTCCCTATCCCCAGCCCACCAGACCCTCCCTATCGCTATTCCCAGCCCACCAGACCCTCCCTATCCCCAGCCCACCAGACCCTCCCTATCCCCAGCCCACCAGACCCTCCCTATCCCTATCCCCAGCCCACCAGACCCCCCTATCCCCAGCCCACCAGACCCTCCCTATCCCCAGCCCACCAACCCTCCCTATCCCCAGCCCACCATGCCCTCCCTGTGTCGCCATGTCAGGCTGTCACAGATCGATGCGGCAACCAGGTCCTCGACAAAGCGTCAGCCACGGAAACCAATCAATAGCCCTTAATGTGCTGCAGCGACGGCGCGCTGTAGACAATAATCCTGACAGCAACACGAGGAGCTTTCTACCTTGGGTGCGCCACTCAAATCCATCCCTCCTGCCTAGACTTGGACAGACAGACATGCAGACTTTGCATACTGTAGTGTGTCCTCCTGCAGACAGGCAGCCCTGTAGCTGCCAGAGGGGGGCCCGGGTCTATTGATTGGCTGTTGTGTGTTAGAAGCCTCTTCTCAGACACTCCTATTGGCAATTTCAGCTGTATTACTGTATGTAATGCATTCACATGGAAGGCAGTATGTTGCACACAATAGGAATACAAATAATCTCATTTTAATGGTGAATGTTTGGGCAAATATATCTGTTTGATATCCCCCCTCAATCGGCCCTGTCATCCTCCAAAAAGCTGAATCTTGACTCTTGGCCTTTTTGACATGGTGGTATCACTCACACACGTCCATGAAAACTCCCAGACTAGCACCAGGAGGTGGAGTGGCTACTTGAATCAGAAATTATTATGTATAAATATCGACCCGATACCCCCCACACCTCCTCTCCTCCCTCCTCCCCACACACATTCCCACTCCCATTCTATCGTTCCC